AGGGCCGAAGGGCCTGTACTGCGCTGTAATGTTCTATGTTCTATGTTAGGAAGGCAAATGCGATGTTAGCTTTCAGAGACAGCTAAAATACAAGAGCAAAGATGTACTGCTAAGGGTCTGGTCAAACTGCATTTGGAATATTGTGAGCAGTTTTGGGCCCTGTATCTAAGGAAGGACATACTGGCCTTGGAATGGTTCCAGAGGAAGTTCACAATAATGATCCCGGGAATATGAGGAGCAGTTGAGGACTCTGGGTTGGTACTCAATGGGGTTTAGAAGGATGAGGAGGGATCTCATTGAAACTTACAAATTACTGAGAGGTCTGGATAGAGTGAACGTGGAGAGGATGTTTCCACTAGTAGGAGAGACTAGGACCCAAGGGCACTTCCTCAAGAGTGAAAGGATGACACTTTAGAACTGAGATGAAGAGGAATTTCTTCGGCCAGAGGGTTGTGAATCTGTGGAACTCATTGCTGCAGGAGGCTGTGGAGACCAAGTCATTGAGTGTATTTAAAACAGGGTTAGACAGGCTCTTGATTAGTAAGGGGATCAAAGGTTATGGGGAGAAGAGGATGGGTTTAAGAAATGTATCAGCCATGATCAAATGGTGGAACAAGCTCGATGGCTGAATGGCCTAATTCTGCTCCTATATCTTAAGGCCTTGTAAATACCTCACAAAAGGTTAAGTCATAAGATAAGAGGCCACAGTATTGGGTGTAGTGTATTGGCAAGGATAGAGAATTGGCTAATGGGCAGGAAACAGTAAGTAGGGATAAGAGTTTCTTTTTCAGTTGAGGACCTTTGACTAGTAGGGTCCATAAGTATCAGTGCTGAGACTGCAATTGTTTATAGTATATATTAATGACTTGGAGAAAGAAAGTGAATGTACCAAATTTTCAAACGACACAAAAATAGGTGGAAAAGCAAGTTGCAAGAGGGATACAAACAGAAAGATATTGATAGGCTAAGTAAGTGGTCAAAAGGTCACTAGATGGAGTATAATGAGGGAAAATATGAAGCTGTTCATTTTGTAAGTGAGAACAAAAGAACAGAACATTATTTAAATGGAGAAAAGCTGCAACAGAAAAGGAGTTGGGGGTAACTTCTGCATGAAACAGACTGTTACCACACAGGGACAGCAGCTAATAAGGAAAGCTAATGGAATGTTAGCCCTTATTTCAAGGGAGTTGGTGTATAAGAGCAGGAAAGTCTTACTGCAACTGTACAAGGTGCTGGTGAGACCATATCTGGAATACTGTGAGCAGTTATGGTCTCCTTAATTAAGAAAATATAATATTTCATTGGAGATAGTTAAGAGACGGCTCACCAGGATGATCCCCAATATGGAGCGGTTGTCTTATGAACAAAGTCTGAACAGGTTGGGATTCTACTCACAAGAGTTTAGGAGAATGAGAAGTGATCTCATTGAAACATAGAGGATTCTTAAGGTGCTTGTCAGAGTAAACGCTGAGAAGATGCATCCATGGGAGAATCTTGAAGCAGAGTCTCAGAATAAAGGGATGCCAACTGAAGTTTGAGACAAAGAAGATTTTTTTTCCTCTAAGAGGGTTGTAAGTATTTGGAATTCCTTACCACAGAGAGCTGTGGGGACAGAGCCCTTGTGTGCATTTAAGGCTGAGATAGATAGTTTCTTGATCTTTTAGGGGAAACAAGGATTACAGGGAAAGGGCAGGCAAGTGGGCGTGAGGAATGTTGGATCAGCCATGATCCTACTGAATGGTGGAGCAGGTTTGAAGGGCCAAACGGTCTACTCCTGTTCCTATTTCTTATGGCATTATGGTCTTATTTGTACAGACAGAAACAGGTAACGTTCCTAATTTGATACAAAGCTTCGTCAGAACTGCTGCTTATTTTGTGAGAAATTTCAGCCTATCTGGTTGGATTGGGATAAGCAGTTTGATAATTTAGTGAAAGTGGAGGAATGGAGCGGGAGTTAATGTTTCGAGTCTGATATGACTCCTCTCCAGCACTGATTTCTAAAAAGTTTCTCTAGCATTTTCTGTTTTTGTTTCAGAAACATTAACTCTGTTTCTCTCTCTCCACAGATACTGCCAGAACTGCTGCATTTCTCCAGCACTTCTGTTTTTAATTCAGATTTCCAGAATCTGCAGTATTTTGCTCTTAAATGAATTATTTACCTTTGGTGGTGCTGAGCTTGAATAACAGGTTATTCTCCAAATCCTTCATTTTGCGTTTATTGGCAGTGACTTCCTCGATTAGCTGCACACGCTCTGCTTCCAATTCCTAATGGAAAGATGGTTAAAAATAATTGCTCCAAACTGGTAAAGGGAAAAGTAAAGTATAATATTACCTCAGGATACAACTGCAGACCAGATTGTAAAATTGCAGAAAAAGGGAACATGTTTCAGTGAAATGATAGACAATTTAGCCAGATATCCTGTGCCTTGGAAACTCTGTGCATTAACCATTTCTACCACACAAAAATCACAAAAGAGGAAATAAGACGGACAAATAGGATGTATAAAATAGATTCGTGTCTTGTTGACTGGTTAAAAAGGGTTGTGTAGAATTAAGTCTATATTCCGAGAAATGCTATATAAAAGAGGTCCTTTAAGAGTTCCCCAGTTCAGTGGACAGGACAGTGAAGTAATCTTTGTGAAGAAACAGCTACATATCAGTTCTACACTTCAGTCAAATATTACATAAGACTCCTCAATCCCAGAGCACATCAGTCTCCTTGAACCCTTTGCATGTAGGACAAAGAAATACCCCGACTTTACCTGTTTCTCTGTAAGGATCACTCGTCCAAGCAGCTGATTCTCAAGACCTTTAATGGTTACGGTGAAGTCAATGATGGATGTCTTGGCACTAATTTCTGGAGTGTAGGCTGGGTTTGGAAGTTTTGTAGTAATGTAGAACATGAATCCAGCCATGACATCAGTTTCTTTATCTCCCACTTTCACCTGTAAAAGCAATCAATAAAAATATTTTACTGCTGTAAAGAGAGACATGTTGCCTGAGATTTTCATCTTGCATACATCAGGTAAACAGGAGAATTCTACATTTCAAACAGTCATAATAACTTATATAGCAGGAAACAAAGGTACTGATTGGTTGGCTGGTTGAATCTGTTAGGCTGAGGCAGTGTCATGGAGAAAGTAAAAGGGCCACTGGCATCAGTGCAGGGCAAAGGGAGGGGGAAATCCCATCCTTTAATCATGGAGAGTTATCACATCTCCATTTTGTTCTTTCAATCCTTCCAAAATGTTAAATACTGTTGAATATTCAGTTCACATAATTGGCTATTTTGCAGCCACATCTCTGTAATGGCTATCATATCATACCCATTTATTTCTACTTGCATTACCAGTTCATCCATCTTGTTATCAATGTTGGATGCAGTCAGAAAAAGAGCCTTTAATTCTGCTACTGGGTAACTTCACTGGTGTCAGCAGTTTAATGAGTAGCCATTGTCACCAAAAAATCTGACCTTGGAAGAATGTGGGTGGAATGAAAAACTTGGCACCTGGGAGTGCCTGGGTGTGCAGACATCCTGACTGTAAGATCCAGAGGAAATACTCACAGAACAATTGGACATTGAGGGATTGGAATCTCTTCCTGTTAATGAATGCCATTGGCTGGTCTGTGGGAGCCTTGATAGTCACGTGTGTGCAACCTAGCAATCTTGTACTTAGGACATCCAGCACTGAGTCTCCCAGAGTGGTCTGTCTGGATCAGTGTGATAATTGATTTACTGCAACCTTCAAGAGACATTGGCACCACATTGAAACAATGATACCTTGCTGAACACATGTATCTCCAGTTAGCCCTTGGAATGAGCAGACATGTACAAACTAAAGTCCATGAGGGCCCTTCCTACCGCTGCCCTGAGGTAACCAACAGCATCATTACTGTTCACCTCATTAATTATAGTGGCATAATGATCTGCAATAACATCTCTGGAGAGCTTTGGTCATTGGGGAAACTACTGCTTCAACATCTGGTGGTAGCTTGAGTGCTATCTGTACACAAAGAACAAAGAAAATTACAGCACAGGAACAGGCTCTTCGGCACTCCAAGCCTGTGCTGATCCAGATTCTCTATCTAAACCCGTTGCCTATTTTCCAAGGATCTGTATCCCTCTGCGCCCTGCCCATTCATGTATCTGTCTAGATACATCTTAAATGACGCTATTGTGCCTGCCTCTATCACCTCCGCTGGCAACACGTTCCAGGCACTCACCACCCTCTGCGTAAAGAACTTTCCACGCATATCTCCCTTAAACTTTTCCCCTCTCACCTTGAAATTGTGACCCCTAGTAATTGAGTACCCCACTCTGGGAGAAAGCTTCCTGCTATCCACCCTGTCTATACCTCTCATGATTTTGTAGACCTCAATCAGGTTCCCCCTCAAGCTCCGTCTTTCTAATGTAAATAATCCTAATCTACTCAACCTCTCTTCATAGCTAGCGCCCTCCATACCAGGCAACATCCCGGTGAACCTCCTCTGTACCTTCTCCAAAGCATCCACATCCTTTCGGAAATGTGTCGACCAGAACTGTACGCAGTATTCCAAATATGGTCGAACCAAAGTCCTATACAACTGTAACATGACCTGCCAACTCTTGTACTCAGTACCCCGTCCGATGAGTGAAAGCATGCCGTATGCCTTCTTGAACACTCTATCCACCTGCGTTGCCACCTTCAGGGTACAATGGACCTGAACACACAGATCTCTCTGTGCATCAATTTTCGCCAGGGCTCTTCCATTTACCACATAGTTCGCTCTTGAATTGGATCTTCCAAAATGCACTCGCATTTGCCTGGATCGAACTCCATCTGCCATTTCTCCGCCCAACTCTCCAATCTATCCATATTCTGCTGCCTTCTCCGACAGTCCCCTTCACTACCTGCTATTCCACCAATCTTAGCGTCATCTGCAAACTTGCTAATCAGACTATCTATACCTTCCTCCAGATCATTTATGTATATCACAAACAACAGTGGTCCCAATGCAGATCCCTGTGGAACATCACTGGTCACAGTTCTCCATTTTGAGAAACTCCCTTCCACTACAACTCTCTGTCTCCTGTTGCCCAGCTGGTTCTCTATCCATCTAGCTGGTACACCCTGGACCCCATGCAAATTCATTTTCTCCATCAACCTACCATGGGGAACCTTATCAAACGCCTTACTGAAGTCCATGTATATGACATCTACAGCCCTTACCTCATCTATCAACTTTGTCAATTCCTCAAAGAGTTCTATCAAGTTGGTAAGACATGACCTTCCCTGCACAAAACCATGCTGCCTATCATAATAAGCCCATTTTCTTCCAAATGTAAATAGATCCTATCCCTCAGCATTTTCTCCAGCAGCTTCCCCACCACTGACGTCAGGCTCACCGGTCTATAATTACCTGGATTATCCTTGCTACCCTTCTTAAACAAGGGGACAACAACATTAGCAATTCTCCAGTCCTCTGGGACCTCACCAGTGCTCAAGGATGCTGCAAAGATATCTGTTAAGGCCCCAGCTATTTCCTCTCTCACTTCCCTCAGTAACCTGGGATAGATCCCATCCAGACCTGGGGACTTGTCCACCCTAATGCCTTTTAGAATACCCAACACTTCCCCCCTCCTTATGCTGACTTGACCTAGAGTAATCAAACACCTAGCCCTAACCTCAACATCCGTCATGTCCCTCTCCTCAGTGAATACTGACGCAAAGTACTCATTAAGAATCTCACTCATTTTCTCTGACTCCTCGCATAACTTCCCTCCTTTGTCCTTGAGTGGGCCAACCCTTTCTCTAGTTACCCCCTTGCTCCTTATGTATGAATAAAAGGCTTTGGGATTTTCCTTAACTCTGTTTGCTAAAGATATTTCATGACCCCTTTTAGCCGTCTTAATTCGTCGTTTCAGATCGGTCCTACTTTCCTGATATTTTTCCAAAGCTTCGTCGGTTTTCAGTCGCCTAGACCTTATGTATGCTTCCTTTTTCCTCTTTGCTAGTCTCACAATTTCACCTGTCATCATGGTTCCCTAATCTTGCCCTTTCTATCCCTCATTTTCACAGGGACATGTCTGTCCTGCACTCTAATCAACCTCTCTTTAAAAGCCTCCCACATATCAAATGTGGATTTACCCTCAAACAGCTGTTCCCAATCCATATTCCCCAGCTCCTGCCGAATTTTGCTATAATTGGCCTTCCCCCATTTCAGCACTCTTCCTTTAGGACCACTCTCGTCTTTGTCCATCAGTATTCTAAAACTTACGGAATTGTGATTGCTATTCCCAAACTAATCCCTTACTGAAACTTCAACCACCTGGCCAGGCTCATTCCCCAACACCAGGTCCAGTATGGCCCCTTCCCAAATTGGACTATTTACATACTGCTCTAGAAAACCCTCCTGGATGCTCCTTACAAATTCTGCTCCATCTAAACCCTTAACACGAGGTGAATCCCAGTCAATGTTGGGAAAATTAAAATCTCCCATCACCACCACCCTGTTGCTCCTACATCTTTCCATAATCTGTCTACATATTTGTACCTCTATCTCATGCTCGCTGTTGGGAGGCTGGTAGTACAGCCCCAACATTGTTACCGCACCCTTCCTATTTCTGAGCTCTGCCCATATTGCCTCACTGCTTGAGTCTTCCATAGTGCCCTCCTGCAGCACAGCTGTGATATCCTCTTTGACCAGTAATGCAACTCCTCCACCCCTTTTACCTCCCTCTCTATCCCGCCTGAAGCATCTATATCCTGGGATATTTAGTTGCCAATCTGGCCCTTCCCTCAACCAAGTCTCAGTAAAAGCAATAATATCATACTCCCAGGTACTAATCCAAGCCCTCAGTTCATCTGCCTTACCTACTACACTTCTCGCATTAAAACAAATGCACCTCAGAATACCTGTCCCTTTGCGTTCATCATCTGCTCTCTGCCTCCTCTTCCCCTTAGTCACACTGACTTCATTATCTAGTTCCTTACAGGCTTTAGTTACTACTTCCTTACTGTCCACTAACCTCCTCATTTGGGTCCCATCCCCCTGTCACATTAGTTTAAACCCTCCCCAACAGCATTAGCAAAAGCACCTTGCTATAATGTCCTTTCTTTGCTTTACAGCCTAGTTACAACGCCGTCTGTGGTCTTCTCCCACCTGCACACCCTGAGGTTGCACCTGCATGTGGCCATACATTTTTCTGGACTGAACCCCTGAATTCTGCAAATCACCTTCTCTCTCAGCTGCTCCTCCTCGCTGGAGGACCCACGTCCTGAGTGGAGGATGTTCACTTTCCCAGATTCTTTCTCCAAACAACCCACCCCGTCTCCTATCAGGCCCTTTCAATGCAAACAAGTGGCAGTATGGAGGATGAACCCTCAAGCTCTGCAGCAGGAATGCTCGTCCTCACTGCAATATGTAATGACTGCCCTGCCCCAGCTCTTCCTGTGAAGACATGCTGCCTCTTCTGACGGCTGTCAAATTCAACACTTAATGACTTTCTGCTCTGGTGATACCAGCCAGGGCTCTGACAGCTCATGGCCCCCACGGACTTTGTGCAAATTTGGATGATGTTTGTAAAATTGCAATCAATTATATTTAATTACTCGCAATTGCTTTTTTTTCATTTGTGCATCATTCCGAATAGTCATGACTGTTTCTCATTGTAAAATTGATACTTGGCATGTCACCTGAATTGATATTAGCCCATCCATCCTACTCCATCCCTGCCTCCTAGGAAGTGGACAGTGTGGCCAGCTAGCCCAGAATTGGAAATGACATGTAGAATGGGCGTAACCCCACATTGTGCACATCTCAGCATGTGAATTCATGATGACAGCGGTTCAGCATGAGTGATTGCTATGTGTCAAGTGGCAAGTGACATTAAATTCTTCACCAGGTGGGTGGGAGACCCTTATCTCTCCATCACTGACCTATATGGATCAACTCACTCCAGAGAAATCCAATGCATCTATCATTGCCGTGATCAGGATGAGAATAACTGCAGGTCCATTAGAGGTTGCTGCCTCTCCCTGGAGTTTAATGCATTCCTCTGTCCTGCAGTGCAACAAAGCAAGGCTTCTGAGCGTCAGAAGTAGAAAGTGTGCAGAGAATGGATTAAGAATATTTTTGAAGGTGATGGATATGAGATGTTAATAGGATGTGGAAGAATGTGAGTGTTGGATGTCTAGATGATTTAGGGAGGTGTTTTGAGAGAATAATGCATGCTGCTGTTACTCTGAGATATGCTGCGCAGGTCAATGTTGGGGCAGTCAGAGATTGAAGGCTGGCATCTACAAGTGATTCGCCATTTACCTTTTATCCTTAGGGGGCCTCTTGTGGCACTGAATCCATCTTGCAGGGAGTACCTCAAAGACTTAAAAACATACCTGTTTTAATGCAACTGGCCCCTTCTTCACATCAACAAAATTCTCCAGAACCTCATCAATTCCAGCATCACAAGGAAGAATCAAAGAACTTTGGAGCAGTCTTCCCACATCTCCATTCCATTCTGCAACCTTTAGAACTAAACCTTGGAAAGCAAGCAGTCTGAGGTCTGTCAGGGTCCTTTTAGGTGGAAATGCTCTCATTGACAGATGAGACATTCATTGTGCCTACACTTTCTGATAGGTCATTAAGCACAGAAGACGCTAATGCTGTGGTCAAGTTAAACAGCCATGGCAACACCTACTGCAGGGTGATTGTGCTCCTGATCTGCTATCATCCCACCATCCCTTCACCTTCTGCAAATTGGTTGGTTTGAAGAAAGTTATGTCCATTGTCTCCTACTATAAAACAGTTATTTTTTTCCCCAGGGTCTCAAAAGGTCTTTCCTCCACTGTTTTTTCTTCCTACCTTACACCTAGTATAGGGATAAATTGTGAAGCACTGAGGCAAACTGCATTATCTGGCAAGTTATTTCCTGTCTTGCATGTTTGTGTGTGAGGAGTCTGACCAGGGTAGATGGGAGAAACTGCTCTCATTTCATGGAAGGAGAGAGAACAAAGGGCAAAGATTTAAGGAAATTTGCAAAAGAAACACTGGTGACATGAGGAAAAGCTTTTCCCTGCAGTAAGCAGTTAGGATTTGGAATGCTCTGGTTCAGCATACAGTGGAGGCAGATTCAGTTGAGGCATTGAGGAGGGAATTGGTTTTCTGACAAGGAAGAACGAGCAGGGATAAAGTAAGGAAGCTGGGGAGTAGTATGAAGTGAAATTTTCCTTCAGGGATCCAATTCAGAAATGACAAGCTGAATAGTCTCTTTCTACGTTGTGACCATATTCATGAGTCCTTGCGTTTTAAACTTGGCATCGCCTTATTCCTACTTTCTAATATAGCCTTCCTTTAACATCTTCAAATGAGAGAAAATTCACCTTTGTGCTCCATGTCTTGCAGTATTTTTATATTCGAACCAATTTATTCAGGCATCTTGACAAATCTCTGTAGCAGGTGGAATGTGAACCTAGACCTTCTGATCCAGACACTACTACTCCACCATAAGAACCCCCTAACATTCCTTCTGTTCTTTGGAAATGTTGTGGTGTAAGCACTAAGGGGCTTTGCCTTTTGCTTAGACTTCACAATAAATAAAATCAGCCCAAGACTGTTTGGTGCGTCGAGGTTTGGGGATACAATAATGGAGTGTCTTATGAATCTTACGTTAGAGTTTCAGTTCAGTGACGACTGTTGAGCTGATGATTCTGATGGTAGTGGCATATATTTACTCACCTTAAAGGAGGTCCCAGATTTTATGAAATTTTTCTCCAACACATTGTCCAATGCAGGATCCAATTCTTCTTGCACATCTTCCAATAGCAGAGGGCGTCCAAGTGATAGAGAATCCTCCAGGTGATTCCGGAAATACTTGTGGTTAAGTGATGTTACCTTTATAACAAAAGGAATTTGTCATTAGTAAGTATGTTTATCGACTGAGGGCGACAATGGAAAATAGTGGCAATGTTGCTTCACTTGTAATCCAGACTTATTTAAATTCACTTTCAGGATGTGGGCTTTGCTGGCTAGGCCACCATTTATTGCCCATCCCTAATTACCGAGAGGTCAGTTAAGAGTCAATCACATTGCTGTGGATCTGGAGTCATATGTAGGCCAGACCAGGTAAGGATGACAGATTTCCTTCCCTAAAGGACATCAGTGAACCACATAGGTTTTTCCTGACAATTGACAATGGCTTCATGGTCATGATTAAACCCTTAACTCCAAATTCTTTATTGAATTCAAATTCCATCATCTCCCATGGCAGGATTTGAACCTAGGTCCGCAGAACATTAGCTGAGATTCTGGATTAATAGTCTAATGATAATATCACTAAGCCACTGCCTCCCAAATATGCTGTGATACTTCATTCAAATCCCACAATGGCAGCTTGGCAGATGTAAATTCAATGAATTAAGAAAGTGGAAATAAAGAACTAGTTGCAGTAATAGTGATGTAAACACTGAGAAATCACTCATACTGTCCACAGGAGAAAATCTAACATCCCTACTTGGTCTGGTCAACAATAAGTAATGTGGTTGTCTCTGAAATGAACTAGCCATGCCGTTCTAGCAAATAGCTACAGATAAGTTCAACATGAATAAACTGCAGGTGGTCCATGTGGCATAGACCTAAGCACTGGGAACAACAAAGGCACAACCTGCTCAGGGGAAACTGAAAAATTCTCCTCACTGACATTTGGGTACTTATGCCAACATTGGAGACCTGTCCCATAGACTAGTTGAGGAACAACCTAACGTACTTATACTATTGATTCCTGTATTCTGTTCCATCAACCAGACAGACCTAATAGAGGTAGCGACAGCACAGTGGTATACAGCTGGGCGGTGTCCTGAGAGTTCTCAACATCGACTTCAGGTACTATGAAATCTTATGGCACTAGGTCAAATTTCGGCAGGGCAATTTCTGCTGATGCTAATCGATTGTCTACCGTCAGTTGATGGGAGATGTTGGAATTGAGGTATTGTCAGTAGAAATACAGAGGACCTGGCTATAGCTCTGGGAACATGGGGTCAAATCCCACCATGGCAGCTGGAGCAACTTAAAATAAATTCTACTATCTCTTTAAATAAATTCATCCATTTGGAATATAAAGCTAATCACACTATTGGTGACTCTAACATTAATCATGTTTTAAAAACCCATCTGGTTAACCAATGTCTTTTAGGGAAGGAAATTTTCTTAACAGGTATAGCGTACGTGTATCTTAAGATGCATGGTAATGTTGATGACTGAACCACCCTCTGAAATGACCCAGCAATTTGGGATGGACAATAAATGTTGACCTTGCAGCAGTGCCCACATCACATGAAAGAATAAAAGAAAAGTGCCTCAATGTTGGATACCACTTAGATGAATCACTGAAGATGGCATGAACAGAGATTATACTTTGAGCGGGGTGGGGATCTTCAATATCCGTCAAGATTGATTCAACTACACTACCACTGACTGAGCTAGCCAGGGTGGAAGGACATATTTCAAAAATAAACTATTTTAGACATGGTAACGTATGACAAGATTGGATTAATGAATGACTTTATAATAAAGGACAATTTGGGAAAGAGTGCTCATTACATGACAGGATTTCATATTTAGTTTGGTTACTAAGCAAAGACTGGCCAATTTTATTGTTTTTCTTTAACAAGGCCTTGACTGTGCAGACTACCCATTCGACCTCACTGTTGTTCTGTGCATATTGAGCTGAAGGGGAAAGGTGTATGAAACCTTCTCAGTCAGTGAATTGTGTAAAGCAATCATTATCAAACTGTGAAATGACCACCTCAGGGCTGCCATGTATAGTAACAATCTCTTTGGACATAGTGGTGGGGCAGTGGTATGGTTGTTCTACATCAAGTCATCATGAATGGTAATCAATGTCAAGAGAGAAGGTTTGACTTTGAAGATGAACAAATCCATCCTGAGGCATTCCCATGGGGCCAATGAGAGTGATGAGGCCAGTAAAGCACCTCGTAGTTTTGCCAATGGACAGCACACATTGCACAAATGGAAACTACGTCTTCAATATACAAGAACACCAGGCATACATCAGCCTGAGGAGCTTGGGAATCACAAGGTGGTCATCATAAACTTGTAGGTCATCTAGAAGGCTAAGTTGATGGAGTTTCTCAAAGTATTGTTTTAAAGTACAAATAATGAGGGCATATGTAGGCTATCCCATGACACAATGCTCACATAGTTGATTGCATTCATCATCAGTCTTCTGAATTGTCGGAATTTCTGACGGATCACCACGAGGAACTTAGCAGTCAATAAAGAAACATAGGACGTGAGGTCTTCAACAAAGCAGACATTATTCAAGTGCAGGCTTTCCCACAGAGATAAAGTCAAATCGCATAAGATCTAATTGGAATCATTGGATTTGGGTGGCATCTTTGCCACATGTTTAGTGTTGAAATGGGTCACCAGCTGGTTTATCAGGATTATAATCTTGAGGTCTAGCACATGGTCTGAGAAGTTTCTTTGGGTCCAGATGACTGCCAGGGCCTCTTTCTCAAAGACCTTATATCACTGTCTTGCAAACTGACAGTACGCATCAATCATCAGGTGCCCGGCCTTATGTTAGATCGCAAACAATAGAGCTCCCAGACTAATGAAGGATTGATCAGCTGCAAGAATGATGGGTCAGTTGGGATTGTAATGGGGCAGGTTTAGGCAGATATAAGCATGATCTTGTTTGCATCAAAGGTCTGTTGTTGGTGCTTATCCCAGTGCCAAGCCTAGTCTGGTTTCAGGAGTCACTGTTGCAGTTCAATGATGTGAGCATGGGTGGGTAGGAACTTCTCCAACTGTTAACCATGGCCATAAACTGCTGGAGCTCATTGTGTAGGGTGATAGAACATTCTTCATGGGTGCTGTGTTTTGGGCTCTGCCTTGACACAGTTGACAGTGTGTCCAGGAGATTGGTGGTAAGCTTGGAAAACTCACTTATGGCTGAACCTAAGCCCCACAGCAAGAAAACACTGCAGCAGCATCTATATCCTGGTATCATGCTCTACTGTAATGGAACTATGAAACAGAATATCACCCATATGACAAATAACTCTGTTGAGGCTCTCTAAGATCCTAGTTATAGTGTGTTGGAAGATGTTGGATGCTGAAGCAACACCAAATGGTAAATAATTAAAAACGCATTTTCTGAAGAAAATAATAAATGTGGCTAATAATTTTGACTCTTCATCTAATAGGAGTTGTCAAAAGTTATTGCTTGTATCCACTTTTGCTGAGCTGTCACTGATGGATGCCATTGGATGAATATTTTGCTCTATGGTATTATTGAACCGTGTGAAATTTACACAGGTACATGATGAACAACTGGATACTGGATACAAAGTTGACTGAGTAACAGGAAAAAAGCACAATAGTTAATGGATTCTTTTTTGGGCTGGGGGAAGGTTTGTAATGGAGTTTGAATCACAGAATCCCTACAGTGCAGAAAGAGGCCATTCAGCCTATTGAATCTGCACTGACCTACCAAAGAGCATTCCACCCAGACCTATCCCATGTAACCCTGCATTTACCACCTAACCTGCACATCTTTGGACTGTGAGAGGAAACTGGAACACCAAATGGAAACCCACGCAGCCAAAGGGCGAATGTGTAAACTCCACACAGACAGTCACCCAAGGCTGCAATTGAACCCAGGTCCCTGACCACTAAGCCACCTTGCTACCCAATCCACAGTGATTGATATTGGGATCCTTGCTTTTCCTGATATGTATTAATGATACAGACCTTGGCATACAGACACAACCTTAAAATATTTGGCTGACATGAATTTTGGGATCATTGCAAACTGTGAGGGTAGTGTAAAATTTCAAAAAGAAAATGACAAGTTGGTGGAGTGGGCGGATTGGTGGCAGATGAAATTCCATTTGGAGAAGTGTGAGGCAATGTACTTTGATACAAAGAACGTGGAGACACGGTATAAAACAACGGGTACTATTCTACTAAAGGGATTGCAGGAGCAGAAGGATCTGGGTTTATCTGTGCATGAAAAGGAACTAATTGAATTATTCAAAATCATTAGCAGCCCAGACAGAGTAAATACTGAGAATGTGGTCTGATTAGTGAAAGGATCAAGAAGAAAGAAGGCTTAATTAATAAAAAATGTAAAAATGATATATGGAAAATCTTTGTTAAGCCATGAGTGGCTAATGTTATAATCCAGCTGATATTAATACTGGAGAAATCAGATCCCACAGTGAAACCTAGCTTATTAGATCCTATTTTTTTTAAAACCATGGAGGTCAGTTACTGAATGCACTCACAAGATGCAGCCAGTGTACTTTTAGCAAAAAGAATAAAATATTTAATAAAGGAAAAAACCTTAAACTACGGTACACTGAATGTAAAGTCTTGAAAGACTTTATTATAAACACCAGAAAATATTCAAATATTCCTTTTATCCTTACAAATACCAAAAACCTACCAAAGAGACAACATGATCTCACACTAAATAAAAACCAAAAGAACTGCGGATGCTGTAAATCAGAAACAAAAACAAAAGTTGCTGGAAAAGCTCAGCAGGTCTGGCAGCATCTGTGAAGGAGAAAACAGAGTTAACGTTTCGGGTCCGGTGACCCTTCCCCAGAACAGTTCTGAGGAAGGATCACCAAACCCGAAACATTAACTCTGTTTTCTCCTTCACAGATGCTGCCAGACC